AGTGGAAGACAGTTAAATCTCCAAGCCACTCATCCTTGCGTCCCAAAACACCAACCCCCCATGCCCCAAACCCTCATTAAACCCAGAACCAATGCATCCTGAAATGCAGAGCTCCCAAAGACTAAACATCACTTGTTCTATTAAAACCCCCGGAAAGCTCCATTGACACCAATAAACCCCAAACCGTAAGAAGCAAGTCGTGGCTCTACTTTGGCTTGAACCCTAAACCGACAAAGATCTGCCTCGGGACGCTGAACCCGATAGCCTCGACCCTGACGAGCGCCTACATCCGAAGTCCGAAACCCTTGACCCTAAACCGTCAATCCTAAATCCGAATCCTAAACCCTATATCCAAACCCTAAACTACACTGCACATCCAAACCTTAAACCCTACATCCAACCCTACGCCCCAAATCCGAAACTCTCTAAGGTAGAACCCATGGGCCCCTAGTATGGGCCCTTAACCCTGGGACCCCTGATATACCCACTATATACCCTATATATACCCTTAAGGAATCTTAGAAACTCTAGTGCCCAGATTCTCAAGCCCACCCTGACAGCTGGCGTTACGCTGATCCCCAAGTCCGCACTGCCGGATCAAGGCACCCCTTTGCAGCCGGCGCCGTGCGAAGCGCGATGGGGCCTGACGTGTCTCAGGTGGCTCAGGGTTCGCAGTTTGGGGGTTTGGGACCCTAAACCCTGAATTAAACCCTAAACCCTAAACCAAACCCTAAACCCTGAACCCTAAGCACACTCTAAACCCTAAACCCTAAACCCTAAGCGCTAAACCCTAAGTCTGCAAAGTGTGAGGGTTTTTTGGAGCAGCTGCGATGCTTCAAGGGCTTAGGCTTCAGGGGTTTAGGGTTTAGGGCCTAAGGGCTTTGGGTTTAGGGCTAAGGGTTTAGGGCTTAGGGCAGAGGGCTTAGGGCTTACGGGTTTAGGGTTTAGGGCTTTGGGTTTAGGGCTTAGGGTTTAGGGTTTAGGGTTCAGGGTTTAGGGTTTAGGGTTGAGGGGCTGGTGCATTCGAGGTTGCTTCTTCTTCGCGGAGTTAGGGTTGCACGAGCTAGGGTTTAGGGTTTAGGGCCTTTTGAAAGCAAAGAATTGTGTTTTCCATGGGGTTCCACAGAGTTTCCGTAGAGGGCAACCGTGACCCGAATACAAACTATGCGGGGGGGAAGGCGAAAATACGCGGGCTGCCTCCTTATGAGGGGCTCCTGACCACCAGGGAACCTGCCTTAGCCATTTCAGGGACTGAGTACGTACTTTGAACAACTCGAATTAGGCGTTAAACATACAAGACTGCTCACATACATAGGTTTCTTGTGTCAAACGCAGCAGCTAATACACATGATATGAGGGCTCAGGATTCAGGGTTTAGGATTCCACACATTGGGAGCTTCAGACATGTGTGAGTAAATGCAGGCCTGCTCCATAGCAACCCGATTATCATGCAAACCCGAAGTAGCTTGGGTAAAAAACCCAGCTTTCCCTTGATCATTGGGGTATTGCTTTCCTATTCTGCAATTTTGAGAAGGACACCCAGAATAAACAAGGGAAAACTTGAACATGTGTACGACTAGCAGGACCTGAGCAACGGCACCCCGGGCATTTAGAATCCGAAACCTTGATAAACCTATGCCGAAAGTGCGGTAGAAGCTTGTACACGTCATAGCAGTTACAGTTTTGGTAGAAATAAGAGGCCCCTGCAATAAATCTGAACCCCAGAACCCTCAACCTTCTCACAACCCTCATAGGAGCCCTCTACACAGACCCGAAAAACCTCCAGAGCCCGATCCCGAATGCAACCGTTCCGGAAGAGCCCCATTAACGAACCCCAAATGCGGAACCCTTCCCCTAAACCCTATTTGGGCTTAATATGGGCTTAATGACGGAACTTATCCTCAACCCTAACTAAACCCTCAACTCTTAAACCCTAAACCCTAAACTCTTAAACCCTAAACCCTAAACTCGTAAACCCTAAGCTCTTAAACCTTGAACCCTAAACTGTTAAACCCTAAACTCTTAAACCTTAAACCCGCTAAACAGCCGCAGCTTTGGCTGGGCCCCCGGGCGCGCGGTCTCGACAGGGGCCACGAAGCACGGGACTGCGTCCATGCTCTCCTGGGTTCAGGGGGGTTTAGGGTTTAGGGTTTAGGGGGTGGGGGGTTTAGGGTTTAGGGTTTAGGGTTTAGGGGGGTTTAGGGTTTAGGGTTTTAGGGCCGTAATGTCGTCGCCTTAGTAATTGGAATAGGGTTCCGGGCTCCTTTATAGTGTACTCATCAGAAGGAATCCTGAGGAATCATACTAGTAGCTACCCAGAGACTCCAATACCCCTTAATTAAGGAATATACCTTAAATTATAGTAGGATCCCTAATATGATTTAAGGTATATTCCTTAATTTAGGGGTATTGGAGTCTCTGGGTACTAGGCTTCTATATTAGGGTCTAAGGGCAGTTGAGGGCTTGGGGCTTAAGGGCAGCTTTTGGGTTCAGGGATTCAGGCTAAGGGCAGCTTGGGTCTCCCACGTTAGGGCTTAGGGCTTAAGGGTTTAAGGGCTTAGGGTTGAAGGGTTTAGGGTTTAGGGTTTAAGGGTTTAAAGTATAGGGTTTAAGGGTTTAAAGTTTAGGGTTTAAGGGTTTAGGTTTTAAGGGTTTAGGGCTTAAGGGTTTAGGGCTTAACAGTTTAGGGCTTAACAGTTTAGGGTTGAAGGGTTTAAGGCTCTAGTCGAGGCTCTGGAGTGCCGGAGCTTGGTTTGAGGCTGAAGAGCGAGTGTTACCAAGTTGTCGGGCACTCGGTTTGAGGGTTTCGGGAGCAACCTAGCCCTGAGCCCTATTACTAAACCCTAAACCGTCCTAAACCCTAAGCCCTAAGCCCCAAACCCTGAAGCCTAAGCCCTAAGCCGTCCTAAACCCTAGGCCCTCAGCCCTGAACCCTAAACCCTAAACTGCCCTAAACCCTAAACCGTCCTAAACCCTAAGCCCCAAGCCCAAAGCCCAAAGCCCTTAACCCTAAACCGCCCTAAACCCTAAACCGTCCTAAACCCTAAACCGTCCTGAACCCTAAGCCCTAAGCCCTAAGCCCTAAAGCCCTAAAGCCCTAAAGCCCTAAAGCCTAAACCCTAAGCAGCACTTGAGGCTTGGCGTCGGGCCTCGGGGCTGTTGGGTGCTGAGGTTTAGTCATTCGGGCTGGGGATTCACAAACTCTAGGGCCCCACCCTAAGGCTGCTAGGGTTTAGGGTTTAGGGTTTAGGGTTTAGGGTTTAGGGTTTAGGGTTTAGGGTTTAGGGTTTAGGGTTTAGGGTTTAGGGTTTAGGGTTTAGGGTTTAGGGTTATTAAACCCGAGACTCTGCAACAACCCTAGGCGCCAAAGCCAAGCCCCAAACCCTCAAACCCCGAAACCCCAAACATCAAAGCCCAAAACATCCTAGACACTCATAAGCCCAGACTCGAGACCCCTTTTGGAACCCTCACAACCCTTGAAGCCCTAAACCCTAAGAAGGCCTGAGCCCTAAACCCGAAACCTCACAAAGTCCTAAACCCGAAACGCTACAAAGCCCTGAACCCTAGCCCTACCTTAACCCCAAATGATCTACCTTTCTAAGGACTTATGTAAAGAAATCATGCGAAGGAGCCCTAAAATGCTAGAAACCCTAAACCCTATAAAACCCTAAATCGTCGGCCTCTTCGTGGGAGATTGGAAACGGAGGCAGGGCGTGGAAGAGCCGAGCTTAAAGTGGCAGCGCAGTTTCGGTTTTTTTTGGATTTCGGTGAGGGTTTAAAGGGCTTTTCGGACTTAGGGCTTTAGGGCTTAGGGCTTATAGGACTTAGGGCTTTAGGGCTTTGGGCTTATAGGACTTAGGGCTTTAGGGTTTAGGGCTTATAGGACTTAGGGCTTTACAGGGTTTGGGGTATTTGCGGCGCTTGTGGGCTATAGGGTGGTTGCGGTTTCCAGCGGTATTTCGGGTCTAGCATTGCAGGGTTGAGGCCTGAGATCCTTTAGGGTTGAGGGTTTAGGGCTTAGGGTTTTTTGTCTTAGGGCTTAGGGTTTAGAAGGATGTTGAGGATTCAGGGGGTTTAGGCTTGAGGGAGTCATGAAGATATGTATGTAATGTATGTGTTCAGTATGTACGCATGCATGAGGGAGGGAGGGCTACAGAAACGTTCATGTACGCCATACAAGACATCAAACTAGGCTGCTTTGTGGAGGAAGCGTAAGGAACACCACTACTAATCATTACGCCCTTGTATTCTGCTGAGACGGCATAGAATCCCAAATCCTAAACCCTAAACCCTCCCTCGCATTGCTCTCTGCCGTTTTTCCCGGCCATGGGAGCAGCAAAGTCACCGATCTCACGGCTCCGACTGGCGCCTGCGCAGGGCAGTGGCTATGTAACTCCACAGAACCCCTAAATCCTGAACCCTAAACCCTAAAAGCCACAACAACCCTAAAAGAACCCTTAAACCCTAATAACCCCAATACAAACCCTGAAAACTCTAAAACCCTAGTAAAAACCCTAAACCCAAGTCGAACCCTGCAAATTAACTTGGTCGTGCAGCTGGGAAATGATCAGTTCAAGGCTAGAGCCTTCATGGTACCACTTCTGGCTCAGATAGGGCCTTAATACTTAGAATAAGGTTTTGGGTGTTCCTTTGAAGGGTTCCTTAAAGGGTTCTGTAAGGGCTACTATAAGGGTTTAGGGTTTAGGGGCCTTAATGATTAGAATAGGGTTTTGGGGCTCATTATACTGTACTTATAATAAGGAACCCCCACAAACAATAGTTTTGGTAATGATTTAGGCCCCTATATTACGTCTCCGTTTTAACAGCTCTAAGGCGGACTTGACCCAGGCTGAGGCTAGGACGGCTAGGGCGTATAGGGTTGAGGATGTCAATGTCACTTGCTCGGTGCCGAAGCTTCAGGGCGATACTCGCTGTCGGAGCTCTTGTTTTCACTCGGCTGCCTGCTCCGATTCCTGCCCTTGTAGCTTTTCCAAGCCATCCATGGTTGTCGACAACTCTCTGACCGGCATCCCCGCCGAGAACAGGCTGACCTTCACCCCGATCTGAGGCCATTTCTTGACCAACTCGACATACGCCGGCAGCGTGAGCACCTGGCTTGCATGGTCTTTGAGAAAAGAGAGACATGTCTTCTCCAGCTGCTTCGCCTGCAAGAGATGTGCCTGGCAGAGGATGCCGCAAACCTGCGAGGTGTCGACTTGTTCCGAAAGCTTGGCCTCACACCACAGCTGAAGCCGCGTGACCTGGTACTTGTGACTTACGGCCAGAAGCGCCTGAATCCGCGACAACTCGCGGCCGTAGCTCTCTGTCTCGTTGTTGTGCGAGGTCCCCTTCTGAACGAGCTCCTGGGCATCAGGCAACTGATCAGTGTAGAGGAACTGCAAAAAGGCCTTGAAGATGGCGATATCACAGTCCTCGATCAGGATGACTTTCGAGATGCTCTCCTGCATTCCTCCAGTCAGCTGCTTCCTAAACACCTCAGATCGAGCACAAAGAATCTGGGAGTGCGCCTCAATCTCCTCGCCCTGCACCATGAACCTGACATCGCTGCATGTGCCCTGCTCGAGGAGCGCCCGTGTGTCCTTGAGGATGGTCGGCTCAGGAACCTCTGCGGCAGGGATCATGGGCAGAATTTCTTCGTCTTGGTGAGGCCGAACTTCGAGCTCGAACTTCACAGTCAGGGTGTCGTTCTCCACCCACTCAGACTGCAGCAGCTCCTCGTGGCTCAGCCCGAAGATGCCCCGTGAGTCAGCAGGGCCGTATGCTCCATGGCGGTCCCAGTGTCTATCGCCATGGTGGATGACTTTGCTTGTCTGGCTCCATTGCACGAACTCCCCGTTCCGGGCCCTGACGTAGATACCATACCTGAGAGCAATGCGCTCCTTGCTGCAAAACACTATGGCGAGAGGCCCTCGATATCCGTTACAAGCCTTGTTTTCACAGCTGTAGCGAAAATTAAAAGTCTGGTCGCCAAGGCGAAAGGCCGTGTCAGCTTGCACCCAATGACAACCCCAATCAGCGGCCATGTCCTGCTCGAGCGCGCATGGCACCCAGGAAAACCCCTCGATTCTCCATACATACTCGCCCTTCGCCACCATGTGGTCGAATTTGGTGCTTTCGCCACCACTTGCCTGCATGATACGTTGCCTTTTGAAACCGTGTTGAGATGGAAGCCACGGCCTTTCATGGTCAATAGCCTCCCGTAAATCCGTTTCAGCACTGTTGCGCAGCTCTGCGCTTTCCAGCCTGCCCTGCACCTCCCTCAGCTCTTGCCGCAGCCTGAGCCGCTCCCGGGCCTGCTCCCTAAACCCTAAACCCTAAACCCTAAACCCTAAATCCTAAACCCTAAATCCTAAACCCTAAATCCTAAACCCTAAACCCTAAACCCCAGGCCTGCTCCGTCTCGACCTGGAGCTGCGGGAGCCGCGCCTCCTCGGCCTCCGCCCTGCGCCGAGTTGCCTCGATCTCGGCCCGCAGCTCTTCCGCGGACATGTCTGCCATGGCAATGTGCGACGAGGCCGAAGCCGGATGGGATTCAAAAATATATATCATGTTCTAGCTATATCTGTATCTATGTCTATATCTCTATATCTATATCTATGTCTATTTCTATGTCTATGTCTATGTCTATATCTATTTCTATGTCTATATCCATGTCTATATCCATGCTCGAGGATTCGCGGAAGATCCCATAAAATGTTGGAGCCCCTGCCCTGAAATGTCGATTGAAACCTCCAGGCACATAACCTTCCCAGAGAGTCCAATATCCCGTAGTTTTAGGGTTTAGGGTTTAGGGTTTAGGGTTTAGGGTTTAGGGTTTAGGGTACCTTAACTTATAATAGGATCCCTAATATGATTTAAAGTGTATTCCCTAATTAAAGGATATTGGAGTCTCTGGGTTGTCAAACCTGTACGTCAAAAGCTACTGCGACTGCATCAAGATCCTGCGCGAATTTTCCGCTGCCATAGCGGCAAGGAGTTTTCAATTTATCATCATAAATTCGATGGAACCTGCAGCAGGAAGGGGCCACCCCAGAACTATTGATGCAATCCTATTGCTGCTTTGGGTTGCGACTTTGGGTGCTCGTCTCGAGGCTGTTGCGAGGCTGGGAGGCTTCCAGCTACAAGGCAAACCGTCAGCCAAGATCATCTTTGGTGTACAGGGTTTCAGGGTACAGGGCTTAGAGTTTCGGGTTTAGGGCGTAGGCTTTACATTCATAAACTACTCGCACATAGTTCTGCCGTGCCTCTGTCACATCCGGGCTTACATGAAAGCCTTCCAGGGCAACCAAAAAACCGCCGCCACGACAAGAATGCCCCTAAACCCTAAACTTAAACCCTAAACCCAAAACCCTAAACTCAAGCCCTAAACCCAAAACCCTAAACTTAAACCCTAAACCCTAAACTTAAACCCTAAACCCTAAACCCTAAACCTCTAAACCCTAAACCCTACACCCTAAACCCGAGGCCCTGCCTCCGGGAAAGAGCTCGGCCGGCATCGCATCGACTCCCTGGGGCCCCTGAGCGGATGCTCGCGACGGCGGCTTGCAACTTGAACCCTAAAAGGGTTCTATAAGGGTTTTTTTAGGGTTTTTAGGGTTTAGGGTTTAGGGTTTCGGGGTTTAGACTCAAGGGGTTTAGGGTATAGGGTTTAGGGTTTAGTATAGGGGCCTTAATAATTAGAATTCGGTTGTGGGGTATATTCTTATAGAACCCTTAAAGGGATCCGTAAACGGGAGCCTCATAGGGACCATTAAATAAAGGGAGGCTGAAAGGGAGCCTGATCGGGATCCCTTAAAAGGATCCTTTAAAGAAAGTCATGACCCCTTAATTAAAACCCTAAACCCTAAACCCTAACCCTAAACCCTAAACCCTAAATTATACGGTATAACCCCTAAAACACTAGGGCTTCGGATCCCCAGGCAGATCTTCAACACCAACGAAACCCTCGCGAAGAAGGCTCGAAGGCCTCCTCGAACAGGAACTCCGAAACCCCGTCGAGGCCGATCCAGAAACCCATGCTAACCTCCAATGAGACTGTGTGTGTGTGTGTGTGTGTGTGTGTGTGGGTGTGGGTGTGGGTGTGTGGGTGTGTGTGTGTGTGTGCGTGCGTGGGTGCGTGCGTGGGTGCGTGCCTGGGTGCGTGCGTGGGTGCGTGCGTGGGTG